CTATGAAAGACTCTGCACCAATCATAAACTATGATAATAAAAGCGTATTAATTTTGCAGAATTCAAATTTCACAATTTATATCAATAGCTTGTAAGATCCGGTATAAGGTTCATAAGTAAAAATATGGGAACGCTATTTGACTTATAAACGTACACGATGTAATTAGGTAAATATAAAATGTCATTTATTAAAATAGACTGTATATATACATATATGTATAGATATATATATATATAATCAGATCTTTATACATTTACAATACATTTTATTATAATCGAGTCTCCAGTGCAACCTACGCATAATATTGCTTAATATCGTAAATTACTTATTGCATAATATTCCCGTTTGTACTATTGTATGTAGGACTATTTGTACTATTTGCACTATATCGTTTGTACTATTGTTTGTACCATTGCACTACATATTGTCGAGACGTGTCAAGATATTTTCGTATACAAATTCAAGAAATAATTTTAACCCTTCGCAGAACGCACGTAATTCTGATACTTTCGTCGTACACCTGGGGATCTTTTATGCCCAGATAAGATTTTCAAGCTGTAATGGTGCCATAAAAAAGCTGAAAAAATTCAAGTATACTTTCAAAGGCTTTAATAAACTATTTATACCGTTATGTATGCTTGATTCTTGTTCGCGTTTTCTTTATGAATCCGTAAAATCTGCGTAAAATTCGAAATTGAAATATCGATTGGGTCTTGAAAGCCTCACGTGTTCTGCGAAAGGTTAACTCATATTTTTACTCAGGTCCCGTATTTTTAATTACACCTAACGAAGATGGCAGCTGCGTCAACTTGTCGAGTATCCCGGGTGTGACGAGACAAGTCCTATTGCGTACTGCTCAAAATCGCGTTTACATTGACGATATATTTCCGCAATCTGTTGGTCGGTTTGTCGGTTAATATGTGACATACGTGACCAGTATTTATCTAGGTAATTTGAAAGACCGGGTACGAGTTCCTCGGGATCTAGCTCTTCTTTAAAACGAGATTCTGAAACTAATACATACATTGTTAGGAAAAAAAAAACTATCTATATGTCTACTATTCGCAACTAAAACAAAAAAATCGTGTTACTTACCCATTCTAAGGGAGAAAGTTATAGTCGCTAGAATGTGATTTATTTCTCCCACATTCACATTATAATTTATGATACTTGACAGTATACACGTAGCATTGTAAATCAGGAAGGCACTTGCTTCCCGAATTGGATATAAATTATGTAACTTATTGCACGGTTCCAATATTCTATATATAATCTCCAAAAGTTTCAAAAGCATCTCTCCATTATCACAGATTTCGCCTTCAACCACGTGGTTGGGGTCTATTATGATGAGATTTAAGCATCCAAGCCAGTTATAGGCAAACTTCCATTCAAAGCGACTCGTCTCTCTCATTGTTCTCGTTTCTCTCGCCATTATCCCCGTAAACGATTCTAACATCGCAACAATGAATTGGTCAATTTTAAACAGTTTCTCCCACAATTTGTTTTTCTTCGCCAAACGTGCACCAATAAATATAGATGCAACCAAATCCATTGTACCGGTTAGTAATTCATCTGCGACAAAGATTTCAGGATTATATATTAATTATGCAAAAGATTTCTCTTGTGTAATTACAGTGCTTACCATTAGTCGAAGTCATTAATATAGAGATTATACAATCTCCGAAAAATGCACATTTCGTAAAATAAGCTACCCAAACTGATCGAGCTTTTTTTATGATTTGATCCGACATTTCCTTCAAGATCTTGACAAGTTGAATCAATATTAACGAGTTGTCGGATTTTAAATAGCTCAGGATTTGTGTGACTAGCTCTCGATCGCGGCCTATTGTATCGATGGCCGCTTTATCACTGCTGCATACATTGCCAATGATACCCAAGATTATTTCCTACGAATATATCTGTAGTTATTAACCAGCCAAAATTAGTTGTTAAAATAATTTCTGTAGAACTCATGATAGATAAGTCGTACAATCAATCGTGGTTCGGTTGAAATCACCAGTACTCTCTTCGCTATCTTGGGGAAATCGTACAACATAAGGTGCGATATCACATCTCCTTTCAAGTTTGTCAGATACCACAGAGCACAAAGCTGATCTTCTAGCTCTTTCGTCCAGCTATTCTTGCCAATCTGAATAAGTAAATTACAATCAAACACTTTATCTTAGCGCACTTTTAACAAGAATTGCAAACATATTAAACTTAATTTAAAAAATTAAGAAGAAAGACTGCAATAAAAAGATTATATCGGATAAACCAAAATTTTAAAGAACATTCTGCATAATGTTGCTATTCAATTGGGATAAAAACGATTTTTTAGAAATATTATAGTTTGACAGTTTATATATAAATTTTATTGTGTAATTTATTTGTTCCACTAAAAAAACTTGAGTTTATTATTAAATAAAGCTTTTTAAAAACTAAAAATTAAACTTATATTGCTGTCAGAATCCTTTATTTGACTTTAACGTGTCGCTTTTCTGTAAAAACCGAAAGTTTGAATTAAAATGTATTGGCTACCGCGTCGCAGCTCACCGCGTGGCAAGCGTTTCCGCGTCCCGTATGCAGGAACCATTTATTTATTAAAATTTGAACAAATAAAAATATATTTATAGTCATTTTATATTTACATTATATATGATGTATATATAATTTTCCAAAAATTTTAATTCTTGTTTTGTACCCCCAATTCTGACTCGCAAAATTTTTACGCTCGCCACGTGGTATGCAGCGCATAGCAATACCGCGTGGCAAGCAGCTTCGACGGCCATCTTGAAAAAAAAAGAAGACCACGTGGCGGCACATGGCAAGCGTTTCCGCATCTCGCATGCAGGGGGGAGCCATTTATTTATAAAAATTTATTTATAGTCGTTTTATTATTATTTACATTATATGTGACGTATATATAATTTTTCAAAGCATTTTAATTTTTTTGTACCCTCAATTATCTAACTCGTAAAATATTACATAAAGTAGTTAATACGTAAAGAATAATTTTTATAAAAAAAATTACCTCGTTTAGAGACTTTAGAGTGTCGTTTACCCATTTGCTACTGTGGAGATCATTATCATTACCCACGGCATCGCCTCTGAAAGCTTCTAATTCCCGTTTACTGACGCTCTGCGAGTTCATCGTGTTGGAAATTCAGCCGAATACCTTCAACATTTTCAACATAACCTTATTATTGAAAGCTAATAAATAATTTAGAGAGCGTGAAACGTAAAAAGCGTAAAATTTAACAATTTGTAAGTTATAAATACCAATTAATCTGATATTAGGACGAGTATATATTTTACGAGCCAACACCTTGTGCCGATCCCAACCTCACGAACAGAAGCTTGAGAATGCCGGAAAAGGTATTCCAGGACCCAGGACACGTGAGACGTAGAAAGCGCGTACCTTCCCATTGTGTCCTCGAGAAAGATCGATGATTCCGATAGATCCTGTTCCATCCCGA